TGGTCACCCCTGCCTTGTGGCTGGTTGAAACTAAATTTTGATGGGAGTTGTGTGGGCAATCCAGGCCTCTCTGGAATTGGAGGGGTGATTAGGGATGAGGAAGGTAATATTTGCACCTTCTTTTCAGGGCAAAATGATGTGGCTACAGCAGAGTTTTTGACAGCCGTCTTTGGTCTTGAGAAAGCCAATGAGTTGGGTTTTGAAAGGCTAATCATTGAAAGAGATTCCAAAGTAGTGGTGGACTGGTTAAAGGAAGGGGAAGAAGTCTCTTGGCATCTAAGGAACGACCTTAGGAGGTTCAAATTGCTTTCTAGGGACATGTCCATTCAAGTACAATGGGTTAGAATATCTGCCAACTGTTTGGTAGATGGTCTTGCTAAGCAAGGAGTACAAAGACGGTCTATGTTTTGGGCTCAGTTGTAATTCTTGGGGTTTAGACACAGGGTGTCTATTTGTATCCTTCACAACTTCTTGTTGTGCTTCATTATTTTATTAATGGATTCATTTTCTGAGTTGCTGATCAAAAAAAAAATGAAATAAATCCAGATATATTCCTTGGACAACCTCACACACTTAACTAAAGCCGAATGTGGATGCGGGGAAAGAGCAAGAAAGGATTTGTGGCACTCAGCAGGCGCACGGATATGACCACTCAATTGTTCTTTTCCCAAGCACTGAATCCACTAAATTAGTTCAATTCCTCAAAAACAATGCTTGTGCTTCTGAATAAATTATCTAATGAGAGAAAGAAACTGAACTTGTTCAACGAATCAAATAAACAACTCCAAAAGTAGTGTCTGATGTGACAGACTGACAGCAAAGCAATTCAAGAAAAAAAAAATAAGTAGAATTTCATTGAAAAGGAAAAAAAAGGAAAACCTTGCCTGGTTTAGAATCTTATGAGTAGCTTCCTCAGAAAGACCATTTCTAGTAACAGGAGCAGGATCCGGATCTACAGGAACTTGGGGTTGAACAACCTCATGTTCTCCAAACCCACTATAGTACTGATATGGAACATGATTCGGCACCCCAACGTGATTATGTATCGGAATATGAAAAGGAGAATTCGGCGACGGAAATACGTGAATTGGAGCCGGGCCTTGAGGAATCAACAGCCGCGGCTGATGCAGATCGGCCCGATTCGGCATCCGAGGAACGAATTCAGGCGCCCCGGCATTGAGCCGACTAAAGGAGACGTTTCGCGAGAGCGAAGCATCGGAGTGAATGCAATCGGCCGGTGATCGGTCGCCGGCCTCTCGATCATTCAAAACGACCGAAGATTCTAGGGTTTCTGCAAGCGAGTCTTGAGCCATGTTTGGGGTTTTACGAGATCTAAAGGGGTTTTGGGTCGGGGGAATGCAGACCGCTGGGAGACGGAGCCCGTCCGAGCGGAGAAAATGGAGAGGATTTCTCGTTTTGATGGAATTCAACAAACAATTTATAGTTGTGAGACAGAAAGAGAGTGTCTGTGTGTGTCTACTTACAGTCTCACAGACTGCAACTGTTGGGCAAAAGGGAAGTAGCGAATAGGCCATGAGCATAAATATTGAGTTGTAGTCCCTATGTTAAAACTGTTGGATTAGAATCTTGATATCTCCACCAACAGCGACCTCTGATAGTTAACCAGATCATATAGAGCTGTCGATGGGTCGGATCTATCCGGTAGAACCGAACCGTCAAACCAATTAGACCTTTTCAAATCTATATATACGGGCTTGGAATGGAAGTGTCGACCTGTTGATCCGTTGACCCGATCTCTGTAAAAAATTGTTAAATCGGTCAATAATTCATTGATTTGAGTGGTCGAATCATTGATCCATTGATCCATTTAATGATTTTTTGCCATTTTTTTATTTTTTTTAATTGGGAACTATCCCGACAACTAATTCCGTTTTACCCTAACCTCGGTTCATGGCCAAAAATCATTGAATTAGTCAATAATCCATTGACCCAAGCGGTTGAACTATTGACCATTCAATGGTTTTTTGTCTTTTTTTTTTGTCAGAACGAGCCATCCGTTCGAACCAAAGGGTCGAACCGTCGACCCGAAAACCGGTGGCCATAACGGTTTTGTTTTCAAGTCGTATGAGTCACACACTCGAATGACATAACATGTGTGGTATTGCTTAATGGACCTCACACACTCAATTTTTTGCCTATACTCTTTTTTGTCAAAAGAGGTCGTCCATTTTCTTTTTTAATTGGGAATCGTCTAGGCAACCAGTTCTGTTTTACCCCAATCCTAACCCCTAGCAAAAAACCGTTGAATCGGTCAACGATTCATTGACCCAAGTGGTCGAACCGTTAACCTGTTGACCTGTTCAATGGTTTTTGGCCATTTTTTATTTTTTAATTTTCGTTGTCAGAACAAGCCATCCATTCGAAACGGATAGTGGAACCGTTAACCCGAAAACCGGTGGCCATAACATTTCCATTTTCGGGTCATAACTCACTCACTCGAATGACATAAGACTACTTAATGGACCTCACACACTCAATTTTTTGCTTGTAATTTTTGTTGTCATAATGGGTTGTCGATTTGAACCAAACGATCGAACCGTCGACCCGAAAACCAGTGGCCAAAATGGTTCCATAATTTTTTGCTTATAATTTTTTGTTTCCATAACAGGTTATCCATTCGAACTGGATGGTCAAACCATCGACCCAAAAACCTGTGGCCATAACTGTTCCATTTTCAAGTTGTACGACTCACACACTCGAATGACATAACACTTATGATACTACTTAATAGACCTCACAAACTCAATTTTTTGCCTATAATTTTTATTGTTAGAACAAACTATCCATTCGATCCATCGACCCGAAAACTAGTGGCCATAATAGTTCCTTAATTTTTTTGCTTGCAATTTTTGTTGTTATAACGGGCCATCCGTTCGAACAGGACTGTTGAACCATCGGTTGTCAAAACATTATTAACAACAATTATCAATAATAGTAAGTAAATATAGTATTTAATTAAATAATCATTAATGATTATTTTAATATAACAATAAATATTCATTAAATTAATAATTACCAAAATTAAATTAAATTAACAGTATTTATTAGTAATAGTCAGTAATTATAATATTTTATTAAATATTCAATAACAATATTTATAATTTTAATTTTAAGTAAATATCTATTTATTAACAATATTTATAGTAACAATAATTATTAATTATAATCACTAATTATATATTTATTAAATTAATATAATAACAAGTAATTTAATAATATTTATAATTTAAAATATATATAGTTATTAACAATATTTATAATAATAGTAATTATTAATTATAATCACTAATTATATATTTATTAAATTACTATAATAATCAATAATTATTAAATTACAGTAATTAATTACTGCAATAATCAATAGATTCCATTCATTAAATTATAGTAATTAATTATCGTAATAATCAGTAGATCTATTAATTATAGGGTTGCTCTCATGTGGGAATCTACTCTCGTGAGTATATTCCATTTCCTGCACGGAGAGAGCAGTCCTATTATGTATATATATATATATGTGTGTATATATATTGTGTGTGTATTGAAATTACACATTTTTTCTTATTTTCCTTTGTTTTAAAAATATAAAAGAGTAATCATTGTTTATCTTGATTAGATTAACAAGGCCCCTTATTTTAATGCATGTTATTATTACATTTAAAAAAAAAAAATAGTTAAGAGATTTTGGGTTTTCAATGCCTCTTATTTTAATACATGTTACTAGCAGGATCCGTGCAATACACGAGAAAATTTGAAAGATTTAATAATTTTATTTACTATTAATTAATATTAAATTAATAATCAAAATTTGTTGTTAATTAAGTAAAAGTATTCAAAGTTATTGCTCATATCTACAATTTTAATAATTGTATTTTCATTTAATGTTAATTTACAAAATATAATTATTGTTAATTTAATATGAAGAAATATTTTTTAATAAATTTAGTTTTATTAATAATTTATAGTAATTTTAATAATTGTTGATGAAGGGTGATTTGACCCGACCTCCTAACTAGGGGACACGTGGACATGACTCGACGTAAGCGAAAACTCAGCATGACAGCTTGGCTACAACTCGGCGTAATGAGCTCGTTGAAATCCCAGCAGAACAGCTCGCTACAGAACGGCTTGCTGCAAGGCAGCTCGCTACAAAGGAGCTCGCTATTGAGTAACCCGGAGTCTTCGGGAAACTTCTTATCTGACAAGATCATGCCTGTCAGACTGCTCCCACGTCTCTTGTCTGGCGGCGCAGCACCTGCTAGTGCAGAGGACTGCACCCACGTCTCACGTCAGGCGACGTCGTGCATGCCAGCTCTGCATAACGTCTCTCAATTGACAGGACCGTAATCTGTGACGGTTACCTGCACCAGTCGAATCAGCCTGGCGAATAACGACTGTAGCAGAGAATCAGAGGCAGTTACACCCGATTTGGCAGAGCATTAGTATATAAAGGCCCCAATTTCCAAGGGGCAAGGTAATTTTTGGACGAAGTGCGCATCTCCACTCTTATCTCTTATTTTCATTGCAACTCGCTCAGTTCCCCTCCGAGTTCTAACTTAAGCATCGGAGTGTTACCGTCGGGCAAGATCCCCGGGAATCCTTCGTCTTCTTCTCCTTCTCAGGTGTTGTCCATTGCCAGTTAGGAACGAGGCCCCTGCCAGCTAGGAGTGACCAGATCGCGCTACATCAATTGTTATTATTTTTAAAGGAAAATTTGATTAACTTTAAATAAATAAAAATAATTAGAAAAACTAACATTTTTATTAATTTCACTAATAATTAACAATTATATAGGAATGACAACAGGGTGGGTTCAGGGTGGGGCACCCCATCCCTATCCCTGCTCCATAGTCAAGACACTCTACCCCATCCCCACCCTGTCCTTAGTGTCAAACGGGTTCAAGGCAAGGCAACAACTCCTCAATGTTGAGTGAGTTCAGGGGCAAGGCACCCCACTCCTCATTAAGGATGGGGAACCCTCGAATTTCCCTGCCTCGTCCCCAATATTGGGCATGCTCAAGTAGAGGTGTAAATCACCGCGGATGGGGTTAAGCTATGAGAGGTCAATTGTTTAAAGAATTGAAAACAAATATGTTTAAATTTTTATTTCATATGATTTTTTATGTATACAATTGTTTATATATACAATTAGACCTATTCATGGGCCAGGTAGTCTGACAGCCCAACCCAGCTTGACCCGTTATTTTTCAGGCTTGGACAGAATTTTAAGGTTGTGGACTCGAGCTTGGGCTTTCTCAAATAAGCCCGGCCCGTTATATAAAAAAAGTGCTTATGCTTCTTAAATTATTAATAAATATCAATTTACTATTAGGAAATATAAATTAGTTTATTAATTTATTAAATTATTACTAAATTAATATAATATTAGTTTATAAAAGTATGCTGAAGACATTTTGTGTACAGATCGGGCTTCGGGCTCTGGCTCAAGATCTAGGCCCGATGGTTAAGGCAGGCTCGGACTCAGGCTTGCACATTTTTTGTTGATAAAGAGGCCCGTGTTAATTATAAAACTATGTTTTTTTTTTAAATTAAATTTTTTACTTAATTCTAGTCAGTATAAAAATAATATATAACATTTCTATATATATTAATTTAAAATTATTATTTAAATATTATTTAATAATATTTACCATATATGCATATAACTTCCAAGTTGAGCTTATTAGGGGTTGTTTAGCTTGGGCCATATCTGCTAAAGCCATCATTGGACTCCAAAAGTTTAATACACGGATCTGATTATCCCTAATAATGTGTGGGCATGGTGCATATCTCAACTATACCTAACTCAAAAGAAAATAGTTGCTTGAGCCTACAAATTTATAAATATAATCGGGTTAAGTTATAAACGGTTTGTTATTGTTTATTTAAAATACAATAATTTATGGAAATTATCAAAATTTCAGAAATATTGCTAATTTCTTGCCTAAAACTAATTAAATGTAATTTTCTAGTAATTAAATATAACTTTTTGGTAATTAAATGTAACTTTTTGGTAATTAAATGTAATTTTCAACTATTTATAGCTTAAATTATAACAAAATAATTATTGTTAATTATATTAATATTAATAATTTAAATACACTTATTATTATTATTTAGTAATTTTCAGTATTTTCAACAACTATTTTTGCATATTAGTCATTACAAAATTAATTTGCAACTAATTTTCAATATTTTTCAATTTATGGCTTGGGTATTTTTTTAATAATTTTTGGTATTTTTATTAATAAAATACAATTAATTGTACTTTCTAATTATTTTAAATAAATACCCTTATTAATATAAAACATTGTTAATTTTCAATATTTTATTAATTATTTTTAGTATTTTAATTATGTTTAGGTTTTTCATAATTTTTTGGATTTTTAATTAATTTTTGGTATTTTAAAATGATCAATTAATATATATATTTTCATTATTTTTAATTAAGGTCTTAACTCATAAGTTATCTAATATTATTATT